CAATGTAGAATATAAAAACGATTTTTGATTTTTTTGCTTTTTATTTTAAATTAGAACAAAGTTTTCAAAATAATACACTACCTATCGAGCAGGTTTTAAATTGGAATGATACTTGTTGAAGAATTAGAAAAAATTACCTTATGAAGAAGATGATGATAGAGGTTGGAACCGAGTTTATTTTTATATCCGGATTTATTTAAATTTAAAAATCGGATCCGGAATATCGAATCTCTATTTCAAAACTGTGCAGATAAATAAAGTATTTTAAAGCTTAATAAATTATACACCCTGCGGATATCTGGGTTTAAATCAAAATGTCGAATCCGGTTCCAATCTTTAGATGATTTTTCAAATGAAAGTTTATGGATGAAGTAGAAGAAAATAAGAATATTGCTATGTGTTTAAATAAAGAAAAATGGGAAATAAATGATATTGATCAATATGTAAATTTTATCTATAAATATATTATAAAAGAAAGTGATCTTTACTATATACGATTTGCTCACTCGTTATACGAAAATAATAAATTCAAAAATTCAAAAATTTGTATTTTATTATCTGAAGGTTTCGATGGGTTTTGCCATCCGTCGAAACTTTTGCCACCCGTCGAAACTTTCGCAATTTTACCTTTAATAAAAATATTTGGCAAAACGTTCCGATGGGTTTCGATTTCGATGCCTGTCGAAACCTCCGGGTTTTGCCCAGAAACCTTAGACTATATGCTACATGAAATAATCACATTTATTAAAGCTTTATTCATAATTGTAGTGAATTTTGCAACAAAAAAAATCATAAAACTCAAGAAGGTATCTCAAATATTTAGGTTGTGAAACATATTTCCCATCAACTACTATTATCCTATTTTATAGCTAATGCAAGAAAAGGGAGTTTACCAATGATTGGGTATGATGTTGTTGCGTACCACAGCACCAGTGAAAATTGGCTTAATTTTAAATAATTCCGTTTTTGGGTACATGACAGGAGCAGCGTTAATTTACTCCGGTTCAATCGGAAATGATAACCATGTATGGGAAAGAAGAATTAACCAACATTCAATTTTTAAAATCTAATCTTTATTTATATATATTAGAGCTATTCACTGCTCATTACGATTAAATTTAAGAACTGAGAACTGAATAATAATTGGAATCATTTCGCAATGAGCTTGATAACTTCTTTTATAATAAACATATCACAAAATTTATTATTAGATAATGGATATAAATATAATAATAAACAAATGAATTATATAAATCTAGTTATTTATAATGCTCTTCGTTCCCTTTCGATTTTCCAACTTTCTGGCTTTTTTTGGCCCATCTTCTTCATTTACCAATCCATGTTCCAGCTTTCGTTTACTATATACAGTCATATTAGATGACTTATTAAATAAATCCATTGGAATTTGAAACTAATAAAATTTGGAACAAACCTTAATCTATTTTCACCAATAATCTCTTCGACTTCGTCCTTAAATTGAAATTTAAGTGATTTCTAATAAAAAAAACAAAAAAAAAAAATATTAATTAAAATAAAAAGGTAATCCCTTTCTTTATCAACTTTACTCTTACTTTATAATTTTGCTTAATATTTTTCCATTTTGTTGCACATTGGATAGCAGTATAAGTGTAACTTTTATTTGATAAAGCAATGACGGCACCATCCCATAGTGGCATTCTAACTTTACAAGCTTTAGAACCTCGAAATTTTAGCTGCTTTAAATCTTCTTTATGTTCACTTAAATAAAAGAGCAATACTTTGACGGATTCTTCCTTCCATTCACATTTATCTAAAAAAAATTTTTTTTTCGTAAATAGGAAAATTGTTGATGTCAGATCTTTATATAAATAAATTCACCGACAATAAATATTTTTTACCATTTCGAGAGTCAAATGCTTGATCATTTTTAAAGGTAAAAGTTTGATTAAAAGAAAGGAATTGTGATTCTATCTTATGAAATTCACGCAGTTTTTGTACACACTGGAACGCAAACGTGACATTACAAATTTTCGGGGTAAATGGTTGAACATAATAAAATAAATTGACATTTTGATTCCCTTCATCAATATTTTTCAACAATTCAACCGCAGCTTCATTCGTTAATGGTAGTAATAATTCTTCAGAAATGAAAAAAACATCATAAATGAAAGAATAATCAGACATGATTTTATTATCAATATATTGCTTGAAAGAAGTTTAGCAAACGGGATAATAACTTCATCGTGAATTATGAAGATTGGAATAATTTCTACTCGTAAAAACTTTTAGGATCATATTTATACAATAAATTAACAAACTGTTAACAAAGTTTTTTGGTAAAATGACGCTAGTAACGCGTAATTGTGACTTTGTTCACTTTTTTTTTTAATCAAAACAATATACGAAATTCACAATCAAAGAAACAAAGTTTTTTTTTTTTTTTTTTTTTTTTTGCATAATCGAAACGCCATTTTTTTCATTCAAATAAAATATATTAATAATAAATGAAAATTTTTGATAGTTTATTTATTTTCAACATTGAACACTTTTAAGGTAAAAGAAAAGGGGTACCATATGCTTCATAGTTTTTATCAGCTGAAAAAAAAATAAGCCTATTGTTATTATTTTGATCTATATTATGCCACGATTACAAAACGGTATACAAAAATCTTTTTGATGTTGCTTTACATCACGTTATCATTTAGAATTTGTCATAAGGTTCATTTAAATTTTTAATATGCAGTAACTTTACCAGTTTAGTAAACTAATAACGCCATCAACCAAAACACTTAAACATTTACAATAAACTATTTATTCCGTTTATTTACTCCGATTAAAATTTAAATAATCAAATAAGGACGAATTTTTAGAAAATCAAAAAACAATTAAATATATTCGAATATTAGAAACGTTGAATTTAACAAACGTATTTACAAATCCTAAACTGGCTCTCTTTTACAGAACAGAATTTATACCTATCTATAAATGCTCTTTGTAATTCAAAAAGAATGAACTTATGATTTTTATTAGATCAGACAATGAATCCTGCCAATTTTAAATTAAATTCTTAAAATTAGACGATATATTGCGAAAACAAATTTAAAATTGACAAAGAAATATTTAATTGATGTAAAAGCTGACGTAAAAGAAGATTTTGCCAAAGACGTTATTATGTTTTGATAATATTAAAGGTTTGTGGAAATTTTTTTTTTTTAAAAAAAAAAAAATAGTAGTTACTAATTTGAGTATGATCTGTATATGTTATATTAGTTTTATAATTTATAAAGCATCCGTACAAGAAAAGGGATGGATATCAATGAAAATTGTTTGGGTGCACAACGGTCATATTGGTTACGTATATTATAAATATTTATATCAATGGAGGAGTTACGTATTCCGAACATATATGAGAATAATTAAATTCGCAATATTAAAATTTCAAACTTGATTTATATCAAATAAAGGTTTTTGTAGCTCATTACGATTAAGTTAAGAACTGAATAATAAATAATTATTGGAACCATTTCAAAAGAAGCATTTTAAAATTCTTTTATAAAGTCGCTGAAAATAAATAAAGTTACTGCATCATTTTTACAATTTTCTCTCGCACGATAAGTAATCAATTTTTCAAGATTCCTTAAAAATATGTGTTTACATATAAACATATAAACATGTAAATATGTACTATAATGAATAACATTGTAAGTTTGTTTGTTAAATATTTCACCAAATTTACTATTAGATAATGGTTAATAATATCTAATATATGGAACACATGAAGGTTGTTCACGGGTTATATGTAAGTCACATGCGCGTAAGCGCATGTGATTATCATATAAACTCTGAATAACCTAAGTAATTCGTAATGGTAGAACAGGCTTATCTCATTGTATGACGTACACACTGATGTCTATATACATTTTCATTTTCCTGATTAAATATCTAAGAAGTTAAATGACGTAAATTACGAAACGGAAACTGTGCATAACTATTATATACGAATAAAGAAGAAAATTTATTAATACAAGTTTAATTTAATTTATATTACAAGCTAAGAAACGACAAGTATTTCTAATTCTACGCGAAAAAAAAAATCCAGATTGAATATATATGAACATCAAAAATGTTGAGGTACGATTCGCCAGACCAGTACGGTACGGTACGATGCCAAATTTCACAAAAATTACTGATCTGCATAATCGTACCGAACTGGTCTGGCGAATCGTACCGTACCGGTTTTCAACATTTTTACTAGTAAATTTGATAATAAAATAAGCATGTATTTTTTTAATTGTTGTAATATTATAAATATATCATGTCACATATTCACATATACATTATAAACCGGTGGAGTAATTGACAAAAAATTCATCGGTATATACATAATACGTTGATATGCTCTTCGTTTCACCCTTTCGATTTTCAATTGTCCTGACTTTTTTTGGCCCACCTACTTCATTTACCAATTCATGTTCAAGCTTTCGTTTACTATTTATAGACATATTATATGTTGTATTAAATAAATACTTTGGAATTTGTAATTAATAAATTTTTTGTAACAAACCTATTTCCACCAATAATTACTTCAGCTTCGTCCTTAAATTGAAATTTAGGTGGTCTTTAATCCTTAATCATGATTATGTTTAATATTTTTCCCCTTTGTCGCACATTGTATACATGAAACTTATTATTTGATAAAGCAGTGATAACACCATAGTGATATTCTAACTCCACCAGCTTTGAATCTCAATATTCTAGTTGGTTTACATATTCATGTTCACTTAAATAAAAAAAATTTTTTTTTCAACAAGGATTGAAATTATAAATTCACCGGTAAATGTTTGTTATACACCATTTCGAGAGTTAAATATTTGATGGTTATAATCATTTTGAAAGGTAAAGGGTTGATTAAAAGAAAAGGTGTTTCTATATTATAAATTTCTCGCAGATGTTGTACACACTGAAACGCAAACGTGACATTATAAATTTTCGGGTAAATGGACGAGCATAATAAATAAATTGACATTTTGTTTCCCTTCATCAACTGTAGAATGGCAGTAATAATTCTTCGGTAATGTATAAAGCACCTTCATAAATGAAAGAATATGGAGACAGACCAGGTCATTTGTCATTTAATGTTGAAAATGACCCAAATGACACATGACCAGTCATTTGAGTCATTTGTAAGAAATCGGATTTTCCGAAAATCATTCTAATACCTTGCTTCGGGGAATAATAACCCGCTTTAATTTCTGAGGGTAGTGCTCCTAGCCGATCTAATCGACCCGGGTCATTCGACCCGTCTCGAGAATTAATTAGAGTCGGGGATATCATTGTGTCCTGATTTAATAAAAGTCGTCGGGTCAGCGTCATGGTTTTACTCGACCCGGATGATCTGTTGAACTGATTTTTTTTTGTTCTACGTTACGCAACTTCGATATGATAAACTTGTTTTAAGTAAGATTAAATATAGGATAAATTATATATAATACATGACACACTTGGTATTATGAATGGAAATAAAGCTTATTCATTATGCTAAAAAAAAAAAACAGTTCTTAATTTATAACGCCAACTATACGTCAGCTATTACTGATAGATATATAAGTAGAAAATAATAATGATGAATAAGTTTCATATTTTTCAAATATAAAAAAAAATGTTAATTTATTTAATTTATTAATTCAATTAAATTATATAGTTATATGAAACCGAATATCCATAATGGCTAGAGATTATCAGGTACAAAAAAAATTATCGATTATTGAACATAAATAATACTTTTTTTTAAATAAACCAAGTGTTTAAGTAAAAGAGTTTTTTCTGGCGGAACCAATAATATCAACCAAAAAAAATGTGATCTTAAAGATAATACAATTATGTGTTTGAAATCTGGAAACAGATGTAATTAAAAGATAAAAATGTGCAACAAAAAATGAATAGATTTTAATTTTTTCAAATTTGCTATGATACTTTTTTTATTATCTTCAATAATTGTACCTTTGAAAATTCGAGACGAATCCGGGTTAAACAATAATCGGGTCGAGTCGAATCCGAGTTGAACAATGATCGAGTCGAATTGAATTCGGGTTCTGTACAGAGCACTAATTTGGGTCACTGGCAATCACTGCACAAGAGGATTGGATGTAAAAAAATTTTGTTACTGATGTCGTACAGGTAAAAAGTTTGAGAAGATTATTCGCAAGGTGCATTAAAAGCGTAGGTAGCATTTGTTTGCTGCATCATGTTTAATGAGCAAATATGATTTTATTTTGTGCTTGAAAATAAAATTTGACGCAGGGAGAATATTTTTTATCATGCAGATTTAAAAAAAATCTACACGTCGAAAAACTTTTTGAAAAAAAATCCAGTAAAGTAATAAATAAAGCAAATTATATCTTAAGAAAGATTTTTGGTAAAAAATGCGCAGTGTGAACGCGTAATTAAGATTTCTTTTTACAATACAAGCGAATTGTATGAATTCACAATCAAAGGAATAGGTTTTATTATAATAAATGTCTTTTTAGTTTTCTTATTTTCTACATTTATATCATTTAAACGAACATGTACAAGAATCGTTTTATTTAGAATGTGTGATAGGGTTTCATTGTTTTTTCCTTTTTTATATTTCAGACAATACTTTATTCCATTCATTTAAATTTTGTTAAGCAAATAACTTGTTTAACTGTTAGTCATAATGGGAAACGTTGTATTTTACACAACTTATTATCTCAGCGCAATTACTCATCTTTTTACGCGAAATGAAAAATTTTCCATATTGATTATGCACCTTGTGACACAACCGAAATTTAAAGTGAAAAAAAAAAAACGAATTTAAACGAGTTGCAAAATTAATTCAGAAATTATCTATCCAAGGACTTGCGACAAAATTTTTTTACGTGATAAAGTGGTTTAATATGCTTTGTCAATCCAGATCTATAATTAATATAGGCATTAAAAAAATTTTGTACCATCGTAATTGGAACCGGTTTGATTGCAATGGAAATCACTAGTATTTCAGAAAGGATTAGCAAAGTTTATTTAATCAACAAAAAGAGAAAAGGTGCTCAATAAAACGTAATCGTGAATTAGGTAATTGCCAGTTTTATTATTTTTTATTTAATTATGTTTTACATCAAATAATTTTTTTTTTTTTTTATGTTTTCGGAAATATTACATAAATTACATAATTCGATTTAAAAAGACTAAAGTCGAAAGAAAAGTCGAAATGATCGAAATAAACTTTAGATCTAAATAATCATATATATCTAAAGGTTATGTTAATAAAATCTACTTTTTTTTATAACTAGTTTACATAAATATATTGTACACAATTTGTTACACGAGCTACAATTTTTAAATGACACTGAATGAAAAATTATTATTTGGTTGCCTGTATCTTAATCCTTTTACATTCTAAATCTGTGTTTTCGTATTTTTAAGTGCTAATACTTCATAAAATATATTATGAATTTTTAGAAATATTCTCCTTAAAATTCAAATCATCTTAATCTTTTGAGTTAACCTAGGCCATAGTATTTCTTCAACTTCTGACTTATACAAAAAGCTTGTTTTAGTCTAAAAAAGGTAAATCATTCATTTTAATAACATTATAATTACTGTATGTCATCGTCCATAAGTTAAAAAATAATTTTCATACTTTGTAATCCCGTTGAAGATTTTTCCATTTAATCAAACATTGTTTGGCATCACGGTTATGGTTACTTTTTGAAAGAATATCAGAAGCATCTATCCAAAGATCTTCTTTAACCTCGAAAGCTATAACGCCCCGACTTTTGAGCTGTTGAGCCTTTTCTTTATTTACTATCAAATATATAAGTAAGCACATAGTTTCTTCCTTTCCCCAAGGTGCTTTATTTTTCTTTGAGTCTAAGAAGGATAGAATCTTAGTTATTGAATAATATTTATTTTGCATTTCCAAAAAAAACCTTTATTACTTTGTTGATTATTAAACTTATCGAAGGCAACACAGTCATCGGGTCCTTGCATGTCATTGTTTGAGAGTGTATCGTTATGGTTCACAAGAGCTGCTGTATTGTGTATTTGGCTAGAAGCCAAAGGCTCCACATGAGGCTCGTTCGGTCGACCTCCACTAATTTCTTGAGAGTAGAAGGTTGATTCCTGGCATGGCTGCGGGTATTCTAATTCTAAAAAAATTTATTTCTTAAATAGGAAATTTATATAAATAAATTCACGGAAAATAAATATTTTTTACCATTTTGAGAATCAAATGCCTGATGATTATTTTCATTTTCAAAGATAAATTGTTGATCATTATGGTTCACAAGAGCTGCTGTATTGTGTATTTGGCTAGAAGCCAAAGACTCCACATGATGTTCGTTCAGTCGACCTCCACTAATTTCTAGAGAGTAGAAGGTTGATTCCTGGCATGGCTGCGGAAATTCTTCAAAAGAACTGGGTGGTGCTAGATAAAATTGGCCTTGTTGCGGAATTTCTCCTAAAGAACTGGATGATGCTAGATAATTTTGGCTTGGCTGTGAAATTTCTTCAAAATAACTGTGTGATTCTTGATAATTTTGGCCTGATTGCGGAATTTCTCGAAAAGGACTGGATGGTGCCTGATTACATTGGCTTTGTAGAGTTAGAATGTCCCAAAATTCTTCTAAAGTAATGATGTGTGCTTGATAATATAGGTTCAGAATTTCCAGCAATTCTCCAGCAGAAATGGGTGGTGCTTGAGTATGTTGCCTTAGCTGATTTAGAAACTTCAGAAATTCTCCAAAACAAATGGGTATTGCTTGATTATTTTGCCTATGTTGATTTATAATCTTCGGAAATTCTAGAACTTCTAGCCATTCTCCGGTCGCAAATTCGTTTGACATAATATATTCGTGAAAAAAAAAAAAAGTAGCAAAATTAGTAAATTAATATACTGTATGTAATTAAATATACTATCGGAACAGGAAGTAAGGAGAAGCCCTATTTATAAGAATATTGTAACGTTTCTTGGACATGATCGTTAAATCCAATACATTACTAAATTATAAAAAATGAACGTAATGGGTTTAATCTAATACAATCTTAAGGCCCAATTTGGTAATCGCATCCAAATTCAATCCGTTGTTTATGGAATTCTTGTATTACCACCTTCGTTTCAGTTATTAAGTAATTGAATTAAAAACTCTATTTGTCACGCGCAACGAAAAGCTTGTTTATTATGAGGCGAAGACTTGTTCGATTAACCCGGATATATTGATTAAAATTCTTTCACTATCTCATTTTAGAATCGTTTTGTATTGTATCCTGGAAGATTTTATCCATTTTATTTTGAGATAAAAGAGAACGAACTATACTTGAATGTTTTTTACTTAATTATAAATGCAAGGCTTCATACAGGAAATGACATAAAATCCAATTCAATCACAAATCCAATTCTAAGCGAATGACATAATAATCCAATACACAAAGGTTTATCCAATGCTCGTCTGATCATTTTATCGTAGCACAAATCTTTGATCTTCTTTCCCAGCGATGATTAACTGAACTTATCAACAAATAGATTGATCCTTGTCTCAAATCCCAATTTCAAATAATTACCTACCACCAAATTCGTTGTATTAAGGAAGTGGGTTACTTATACTAGGAAGAATTATGGCTAAATTATCAAAAATTAAAACCGTTGGTGTCTAAAAATCTGGAGGCCAGGGTACTAAAACAGACTTTAGTTATTATCATCGTATTTTTTAAATTTTTTGGTTTGTTTTAATAAATAAATTTATTTCAAATTGTGATCTAACCATAATTAATATGCCATTTTTTATAATTTATTCCTCCTTCCGAAACCTTACATTTCTCGCACATCCAGTTGTACTCCTAAAGAATGGCCGGGATTAGTTCAAAATAATAAAATTTGATTGGTCAAATATAGGATTTTCGATTAATTTTGATTTTTCCGGTCTTTTTATAATATTTTATTATTACAATATTGGAAATTTGTTCGTTGTAATAAGATTTGAAATAATATTTTTAATGAGATCTGTAAATTGAAAATGAACCCAATTATAACTTTATACCCTATGCCTTCAGGATTTCAATCACATACTTATTTGCTTGAAGTTCACATCTTTTGACTGCAACGAGGTTAGCTCCACCAGAAAACTCGCTTTACGGAGTACTCGTTGTTAATAAATAAGATATTAGTTAATTTATAATCATTTTTATCTGTAATTGCAAGATTACTTAAGCCACCAAAGATAAATGGAATTAAAAATTAAGGGAACATAGCGTAAGGGTAGTTTAGAACAAAATCAAGTAATACAATCACCTGGGTCAAGCAAAGTGTAACCTTGACGGGTTGAATTTAATTTGGTGCGTTATTTAATAAAATATTGCTTACAACCTGAGCTAAGTCTAGTTTCAAACTTAAATGTATCCCAATTCCATTAAAATTATTGTTTGATAATTATCAAAATGCATTTTCCATAGATTTTTCAAATTTAAACTTTTATGATTCATCCTCTTCGTTTGATTAGTGCTCCATAAGGTCGGATCGTGTCGGGTTTAAGGCATATTCGAATTTGAACCCGTAATAATTACAGAACTCGAATTCGACTCGACCCGATAATCGTTTAACCCGGATTCGACTCGAATTTTCAAGGGTAATATTAAAACAGAAAATAAAAAAAAGTATCATATACATAAAGTCTATTTTATTTTAAATTTTTTTTTTTTGTGAGCATTTAATCCTAATTCCTTTTTTTTTCATCTTTTCCACAAGAATTTCAAGCACATACATACGAATTGTATTAGCTTTAATACCACATCATTTGGTTGATATCAGATCGGTTCGGCCCGAAAAAACTTGTTCTATTGGAATACTTGTTGTTTTATAAAAAATTGTATTAGTTAATCGATAATTTTTTTTTTTTTTACCTGTAATTGTTCACTCCGCAATGTTTTTCGTTTTCTAGGAAAGTTGTACTATCGGTAACGTCGATAGGTTTATTCATTATATATTTATAACAAATTTTAATTCGCGCAATGTAAAACAAAAAAAAGTTATTGTTTTCGTAAGTCACGGACAAAAAATAACAATAGACACGTGATAAAATATAAATAACGCATTTGAATTTTAAATGATTACACAAAAATGAAATTATTTAGTCGCCGGATCACTGAAAAATTATGTCTGAGTTGCGAAATCTATCAAGAAGTATACATACTAAAATTTTGTGTTACACTTTAATCTAAGATGGCATATTGAGGTTTCACAGCGATCTCTATCAAGAAGTACGTACGCCTACCCTGCATAGCATAGATCACCGCAGTAATTCCTTAATTTCTTAGATTATGATGTTAAAAATAAATTGCCAATCTTCTTTTCGTATTACGCAATTGTATTTTGATTGGCAGTGTTGTACATTTAATGTCCGCAGCTTTTTTGGCTGTACCCGGACATGTCCGCACTTTGTCCGTACTCTTCTGCAACTTATAAAATTCTACAAAAATGTGGTACTTATTCGTAATTAGGCGCTAAACAGTTTTGCTGATTATCGAAACAGGTTATCATATAAAATTTTGAGGTATTAGCACTTTTTTCTCTTGTCAGTCCCGGACATTGTAAATTTATGTATAGGTTATTTTTACTCGCTCTTACTTGGAGGTAAAAATTCCTGTCACACATTACATGCTGAGATTTTCATAACCAAATGTAGTTACCACGATAAATTTTTTTTTATTAGTTTAAACAATTTGGTATGACAAATTATTTTGATCAACATAAACGGAGTTTATTTCCGGATTTTTTGATCTTCAAAAATGTATACAGAAATGAATAAATCAATTTATGTTGTAATTAGTGAAGCAGATTCATTAATTGATAGGCGGGATGATCTAGAAAAACGAAATCAATTTAGAATACAACATATTGAAAAATCAACTCTTACACAAGATGAAAAAAATCTTGCTATAAAAATATTAAATGGACGATTGGATTATCATAAAATTGTTTATAATCAAGGAACAAAAAGAACCTGTGAAAATTGTCAAATGGAATGTTTAGCTACGTCATATTGTGAGTATTCATTGTATTCAAAATTATTTAAAGGCAAAATTTTCAACTTGGACATCTGGAAATAATGATATTGATAATTTAATACGGGAATGTCAAAAGGAATCCCTCGCTCCAAACATGATAATTGAGTGGATCTCATACGAAAAGTTAAAAAATGTTGAGTATTTAACTGAAGGTGGATGCTCTGAAATTTATACAGCAGTTTGGATTGATGGACCCATTATAAATGGAACTTGAACGAAAAACATTAGAAAGAACTGGCACATATGAAGTAATACTTAAAACGTTAAAAAATATCAAAAGTGCTAATATAAGATGGTTTGACGAGGTATGTAAATATATTTTTCATTATTTAATGTTAGGTAATGATATTTAATAAATTTCAAATTATAGGCCAAGTCGCATTTAAGCATAAGCAATAAGTGGTTTAATATCGTAGGATGTTTTGGTTTAACACAAAACACAGTAAATAAGGA